TCATTCTTTTTCTCTTCTACTGAATATTTCGAATGGGCATGAAAGGGATAAGGAGAAATGTTGAATTCCAGGATAGGGAAGACGAATCATGTAGAAACTTTTGAAAACTAATTTGGTTTCATCTAATAATATGAGATAATAATACACTTATACCGTCAACTTTTGATTGTTGTGCATTATTATCACGTTTTGGTACTAAACCATCTATTTCATCAATTGTCATAGCGCATATTAGATAAGGTATAGTATTAGCACGACACATAATATCAATTAATAGTTTTTCGGTTTCACCAATATATGGACGATTAAGTTCACCAGCAGCTAATGGTTGTGTTACCATTGTTATTCCAGCATATACAGCAACACGTTTAAGTAATTCAGATTTACCTTAATATAAAAATCTTTATGCAAAATCATGCCATTTGTATTGTTTTAACTTTGACTATGGAAATCTCAAGAAGACAAGGTAGAATAAAACCAAAACTTGAAGTTTTTAGTACTTTTAACAGTAAGACTAGCTCAAAAAGTTGATATATAGTTTCCGAGAAAATAGGTTCTGAAGATTTCACAGCACTTTCTTCACCGTACCTTTTGTCATTGGGTAACGCTGAACCTTGGTCACTCGACAAAAGTTCTCTTTCATGTGACGAAAGTTTAGTCATAGTGCTTATGAAAGTTATTGGCGAAAGTGTCTGGTTTTTTAGATAGGTGTCACAGTACTTTTGTCACACGTTGCATGAAACGCCTGCGATGAAATCAAAGTTGTAGCGCAAAGTTCATTAGTCCAAAGCGTACCCTAGGGAATATACCTGAGATCAAGTACTTAGCTGCTCGGAAACTTTCTAAAGTACTTGGTTAAGTACTTTTCCAGCATTTTTAGATTTTATACGTGTCAAGCACTTGGAAGAACTTCGCATACTTGCACATATTGTTAGCAATTAAGATGCACGTAAAGCAAAAACGGAGCAAACTTGTTTTGCCTTTTTTGTACATCATTGGAGAGAATTTTTGGAGCTGATCATGAATATATAGTTTATATTTTTTCGAAACGTTTCTTCCATGTCGAAAAGTCGAGAAAACCCGTTTTCAATGATCTTATGTCAATTGATCGAGAAAAGTGTTCCAGTTAAAACCCTAAAAGGATTTGTGTCCATGGTACTTCTTTTACGAGTTACCTTTTATTAGGAAAACATGTTTTTATTTAATTCTTTTAGGGCTTTAACCAGAACACTTTCTTCTATCATTTGGCATAAGATCTTTGAAAACGGAGTTTGACACGTAAGACTTCCCCCCCTCCCTGTCAGAAACATAATTTCTTTTATAAAAAGTCGATATTGAGCTAAGCGCATCATCACATAGCCCACAGTATCTACTATCCGGATCCAATGTTATTTGGTTCTCATCGAAGGGGTATGAAGGTTTATAGAAGACATCGAAAAGCTGGACTTCCAAAACGTTTTACTTTCCGATTAAAAAGCAAATCATTAACTATTCCTAATAATACCAGAAAATAGAGCAAACATTTCTGATTAAAATGAGATATTTTCCATCTTTGAATAATATTCTGATCAAGAGTTAAGAGAGTTTTGCTTGAAGTTCTAAAACATGCATTAGATACTGGCGCCAGCATATCTTGAAAGCGACTTTCACCTTAACAGCGTTTCGTAGCTTCAAGCTCGGTAACGAAACATCGCAGAGAGCTCGGGAAGGTCTTCAATTGAAGCTGAGACATGTGGCTAGAGATTATATACAGCTCGATTTTCGATATTCGGTCTAGATTTGTGATTAAGAAAACATCTTTACCAAAGTTAGTGAGACTTTTTTGGATTTTGGACTTTTGACGCTGACATTAATTTAAAAAGAAAATATCAAAAATCCAGCTCTATTAGCCTGTAGCCAAATGTGTTTTTATCCACCTAAGACCAGCCCGAGCTCTCCAAAACGTTTTGTTCCTGAGAAGTCTTGGAGCTGCGAATAGCCCTATTTTGGTCACTGTTGTGGCGACGTCTCACAAACCATGCACGATGGAGCTAAACAAAAAATTTCTTCACCATACTTTCACAAGATCAGCATCTCCTACAAGTTTGGTCAAGATTGGACTTATAGTTTCAGAGATATGTTTGTGATGGGGACGGGGCCTTAAGACGGTTTCCTGGTAAGTGTATGAGAGTAGAAACACTCATAGGTAAATTTTCTTACCTGTACCAGGGGGTCCATAAAGTAAAAGACCACGACCATATTTTACAATTAATTTTTTATGTTCTTCCTCTAAATTTAAGTTTAAGAATTTTTCCAAATTTTCAATTTGACTACGATTATTTTGAATTTTTGTTGTTAAATCTAAATAAATATTTCTTCGTAAAATTAATTTATGTTCACTAATTTGTAATTCTTCAGCAGCTTTTTGAGATTCGCATTCTTTACGATATTTTGATTTTTTATTATTTGTATCATCAAGACTTTTTATCCATCGTCGAATTTTTTTAAATATATTGCGAGTATTAGTACCGTTACTTAATTCACGATTTACTTCTTTTGTTACAAGTTGATAATGTTCTTGATGTAATTTAAAAGTTTCTTCACAATCATGCAAGACAGGCTGTTGTTTGCGAACTGTTTCCTTTAATTCTTTTGTCTCAATCTTTAATTAAATTAATTCGTTGGCCCAATCTTCACGTTTTCTTTTTATTGTCTCGGCATTATCCATAATATTTTGTAAACAAAATGTGCGAAGATAATTTTGTATATTTATTAAAGCATTTCCATCATCATCATACGATTTACGCACTTCACTTATAGCTAGATCAACTGTTCGACGATCTAAATATGATAATAAATGTAAATGTTTTGTAACATAATAAAAATAACGTCGAACACGATGTATATCACCAAATAACGTTGCTTTTGATTCTCTATATGGATCTGTGATATTTTGATTAAATATATTTGATTCAGTATTCAATTGTAAATAATCACGTATTAATTGTTTTACAACATGTGTTAATTTATTTAATTTATCCCAATGATCATTAGAAATTGTACGCAAATAAGATATGGTATTAATATTTTCATCTAAAATTCTTGTAAAGCTTCTTGTGCAGCTTCTTGTTCATCCTTCAATTTTTCACAAAGATTTTCAATTTCCAATGCCATATTCTGTAAACGATTTTCTTCATTTCGTAATTTTTCTAATTCGTTTTGTGCATGAGATATTTTTTTAGTTAATTCATCAATC